AAGAGCAAACTGGATTTACCAAAGGTAGAGGCACTCGATAACACCTGCTGAATATAAGACAGATAATCGAGAAATCTAGGGAATTCAACATCCCACTATACATCTGTTTTATAGATTACCGTAAAGCGTTCGACAGGGTCAAGTGGAGACACTTATGGCGAATACTAAAAGAAGTAAGCGTACCACAACATCTAATTACGCTTATAACTGAACTATATGAACACACTACTGGATCAGTTAAAGTACTTGACACACTTTCGAACGAGTTTCATCCAGAACGGGGTGTCAGACAAGGATGTATACTTTCTCCACAATTATTCAACATATATGGAGAGTATATTATGCGAAGAGCACTTGAAGGATGGGAAAAGGGCATCTCAATAAATGGTCATAAACTAAACAACCTACATTTCGCAGATGACACAGCCCTTCTTGCAAATAGTCAAGCAGAGCTGATGGAACTTATACGACTGATCGAAAACGAAAGTAAAATATTTGGTCTGCAATTAAACATATCAAAGACAAAGATCATGATAGTGGATAGACTACACAACAATCATCCACACATAACCACAATTGACCGGTTCGAGGTTGTGAGCTCATACTTATATCTGGGATCATTAATCACAAACACAGGGTCATTACAAGAAAAGATTAATTGTAGATGGGATCTAGCAAAAGTTGCCACAGCAAAAATGACCAAAATATGGAAGGAATGTCAAATTTCAAGAGCGATAAAGATGAGGTTGATCAACAGCTTAATATTTCCAATACTGACATACGGATGTGAATCTTGGACCCTGGGACAATCGGAGAGAAGAAAGATAGACGCCACTGAAATGTTGTGTTGGAGACGAATGTTACGAATTCCTTGGACCGACCGTAGAACAAATAATTCAATTTTAAGAGAGCTAAAAGTTAGCCACCGACTCTCTAGTAAAGTCCATTTCCAACAATTAAAATATTTTGGGCATGTTATGAGAGCAAACACAGAAAACATGGAAAGACTCATAATACAAATAAAGGTAGAAGGCCGAAGATCACGAGGAAGATCCCCAACAAGATGGATAGATCAAATTACAGGAATATGCCAAAGACCTATGCATGAATTAAAAGAAATGACCAGAGACAGAGATCTCTGGAGACGGACAATACACGACATCACGTCGACCACTACACTCTCCCTGGGTGCTCAGGATTAAAGAGAGAGATTTATTAACCTGATACATGTACAAGTTCGTTGAGCAGCGGATTCTCCAGTTTTTTCGATCTTCCGTTAATCTAGCACATTCCGATAGTCGAAAGCCAATAGTTGACACCATGTGGTCCATGTACATTGTATGGGATCTGCCTCTGATTTATGTTTTCCGTCTTGCCTCTTCAGTCAATCCTCCGATATTAGTTATTATAACAAGTACACTAGGTAGCTTACATCTTTGATGTTACTGTTTTATGTTAGTTTCTGTGGCTCTATCTATTACCATGATCCTTGTGTTTTCTCTGTATATTTTGAGACCTGCCTCTTTAATGAGGTAATAATTACAGACATGTGAAATTACAATGTAAATAAAACATCATCATCATCAGTGGCATCATGAGCCAAAGCCTTCTTCAGAACAATCTTCCATTCGCTCCTGTCTCTGGCAACTCTTTTCCATGCTTTAACTCCGATGGATTTTAGATCATCCTCTATGTTATCTTGATACCTAACTTTTGGTCATCCTCTGGATCGTCTTCCCACTGGTCCTCTTCGGTCGAAATTTTTTCTGGTCGTTGCATCTTCATCTCGCCTAATTACTCTGCCTAATGTCCTATCCATCGAAGGCGTGCTAATTTAATAAATTTTACAACGTCAGGTTCCCCAAAATTTCTGTATATCTCAAAGTTATAGCGCCTATGTCACAAACTCTGTTATTGGACTTCTCCATATATTTTCCTTAGAATTTTTCTCTCACAATGTAAATAAAACTAAGCCAAAATTTAATATTTTATATTTTATAAATGCGCCTGGATTCGATCTGGTAACTGGAGAAATATTAAAACAGCTTCCAAAAAGCACTAGTGAAAATTATTCACTTAATAAAAGCATCATTCAGACTTAAGCATGCGTTGCTTGACTGGAAAGTGGCAGCAGTCATAATGATAGCAAAGGTAGGTACACTGCAAAATGAAGTTAAAACCAATAATTAAACAAAAGAACCTTATACCACCTCATTGGTTTGATTTCAAGGGAAGTCATTCAGCCTTGAATCAAATACATAGAATAAATAATTTAGTAGAAAGAGCGTTAGAAGAAAAGAAAGTTTGCTCAGCCGTTTTTCTGAATGCTGCAAAAACTTTCAATAGAGTATGGCATAAGGTACTACTTCACAAATAGAGTACTATTGAACAATACTTCAAATCAATCAGGAGGAGGCCTATTCTGGAATGAAAGAAATCGAAACGGGGGTACCGCAAGGTAGTGTACTGGGACCGCTACGATTTCTATAGTAGCCTAATGAATTTCAAGGCCTTGAAGACTTTCAGATTCGCAGCTGAAAAAAACGGCCAAGGAGATTGGACTTGAAATAAATACACAGAAGACAAAAATACTAACACAGACGCTTACAAAGCGAACAAGAAATCAAATCAAAGTAGAGGATGACATTGAAACAGTGAAGAGTTTTACTTATCTGGGAGTTGAAATGAATACGGAGGGAACAGAAGAGGCCGAAATTCAGAAGAGAATAATGAAGGGAAATAAAGCCTATTTCTCCCTGATTAACATATTCCGCTCCAAGACGGTACATCGAAAATCGAAACTTAAGGTCTATAAAACTATCATCAGACCGATAGTATGCTATGGATGCGAGACATGGGTTTTGACAAAAAGCACTAAACGAAGATTAGAGGTTTTCGAGAGAAAAATCCTAAGGAAGATCTTTGGACCCATCACTCAAAATGGGATGTGGAGATCTAGATATAACCATGAACTCTACCAACTGTTCAAAGAAGCACCTATTGCAGAGTTCGCTAGAGTACAAAGGCTTCGATGGACTGGTCATGTGGTACGGATGGATGCCGACAGATTGCCGAGAAAGGCCTTGGATGGTAAAATGCAGGGCAGAAGACCAAAGGGAAGACCACGTAATAGATGGGAGAACGAAGTCACAGCAGATGCGCACAACTTACTGAACGTCAGGGCTTGGAGACGAGTGCCGCGGGATCGCCTTTGTTGGAGGCAGAAGTTACAGGAGGCCAAGGCTCAATTTGGGCTGTAGCGCCATTGGAAGAAGAAGAAGAAGAAGAAGACTTTCAGAATTTCACAAAAACCAAAAAATATATATAACCTCCTCCCATGAACTCATGATTTTAGGTTTCCACAGCTGTGCCTAAAGTGTTAAAAGGTTGTAATAAAAAAATATTCTCCATAATTGTCTGTATATTTTTATTGTCTACTGTTGTCTACATAAATACTATACATACTTCAACAAGTATACAGGTTTTTGGTCTAAATCACCGCAATACTTTTTGCTAAACTTCTTACAAAATGTAAAGACCTCTTAAAAATCTATAAAAGACATTAACATTCTTTGGAATAATGTCGTGAAGTATTCAGTTAACTATGTTTTAATCTCATTATGTAACTTTAGGTAACAATTAGCTAAAGAAGAAGCCAAGATATAGTACAAAATTAAAACTACTATTTTATATATATTTTTTACTAATTATTAATAATTTGAGAGAGCAACTTCAATGGAAAAGTACTTTCCAACTTATTTAATAATTTATATCTGCATTTTCAACAGATGTGATTTATAACAAAAATGAATGTTCTCAAAAGAAGTCATAAAAGGAGCTTTCTTAAAGCAAAATAACAAAAATAACGAGATTCATTAATAAAACAACTAACTATGGGCCGGTTTCACCAACAACAAATAAATCACTGAATAGTTATTCGTCGAATAAAATATATTAGTAGAATAAATTTTTTCCGTTTCAATAACTATTTGTAATCCACAGTTAGTTATTCGTCGAATAAGTTCAAAGTGTAATGATTTTCCACAGACTGTACTCGTTGACACCTCTCTTGGCCTCCACCTCTTAGGTGCTTGGCCAGGCACATCGCACTATTTTTCACTGTAATCATGTACATAACCTATAATATTTGATATTGGTTGATTAATTTGTCAAAATAATAATAATTGTCAATGCCAATGGTCATTACCTATTTGAAACGATCCTGTTGCATAGTTGCATAAAAACGCAGAGCAATTAACAATTGATTTCGCACATCTATGGGTCTATTTTTGTTGCTTACAGGATGCAATTTGTTACCGATCAAATTGAATAAATGATCTACTGAATTTTTTAATAATCTAAACCTAGTTTTAAAGTCCACATCATCAAATTCAGCAAAAGGGTTTCTTTTTGTAGCTGCCAGCAGCGTGGTCTTCTCCTTCGCTGCTCATTTCCGTCATCAGAGGATGATGATGATGAATATTCGAAAATAAATATATATGTATACAAAATTAAATTGTCTGATATAATTACGTTAACCTGCAATACATTGTTGATAATTTCAAGTTAAACTAATGAATTTTCTTTATTATTGATATTAAAAGTGAGGTTAGCTGTCAACTTATTCGAAGAATAAATATTTATTTGGCCGATATTGGACTAATAACTTATTAGGAGTTTATTCATAGAATAAGTCTTATTTGACGTTGGTGAAACGCAGATATGTCAGTTTTATTGGTCGAATAACTTTATTCATTGAATAGACTGCTATTTATCGTTGGTGAAACCGGCCCTTAGGCGTAAGAAAGATAATCAGATTATTCAACTAGAAAAAATACTTCTAATTTAGATAAACAATTTTTTGACTTCTTCAGTAACTTTTCACTAAACTTTTGAACAAATCTCTAAACTACACTTTTGCGAATAAAAGACGGAAGCATTGTTAAGTGATACTGGGTAAGATATTATTGTTGCGATTTTTTTCCTCTACGTAGGCCTCGCTATTTTTTAGGTTGGACTAAATCGAATTTCCACACCCTATTTGGATATATTTCGACGACATACAATGCAGAACCATTTGGACACACTGCGATGTCATGGGGGTTTCCAAATTTCTGTCCAAGTTTCTAGAAAAAAAAAATAAATGTATCAAATATACTTTCGAGGTGTGCAGGTATAAAATATACAGTGAGGGGCAAAATTATTGAATAAATTTATTTTTTCGAGTATTGACGACTTTATAATGTAGCGTTTACGCTACTGATTAACCCCTCACGAAAATTTTTGTGTTCCGCCAGCGATCGATTTTTAAATGGACATTTTTCCCCACACGCGCAGTAGTCGCTTAAAAAGGAAGATTGGTCGAGTATGTACGAGAACGATCAGTTTTGGTCAGAACTCAGCGCAGACACGCCAACCGGTGAAATTTTTTCACCTTCAAAGTGACGGAATTGGAGCAGTGAAATAATCTGGGACGAATAAAATAATATCTAATTTAATAATTATATCTCAATCATAATAATAAGTAAATTTTAAAAATCAAGATTTCCTAATATAAGAGTTCCACAGAAAAAGGAAGATTTTTTTGGCGTGCTGCGGCTCCATGTAAGTAAATAATTTCATACGTATTATCTCTTTATCATATAATCACTTGAAGACTCACTTTTTGGATGTAATATAATATAATTGTAATAGATTTATTGAGTTTGATATCTTTACAATATTGTAATTTGTATCTCATTTTAGTTGAACTAGTTAAATTTAAATTACTACCTTTTGTGTTAAGACTTTGGCTACCATACGGACTATTCTTTGTGTTACTCATATTTTAAACTTTATTTGGCCAGTGGTAGTGACTGTTCGCTTGTTGAGGGGCTATTAGGTCCTATTGTATCTTTACACACCCACTACCACTGTTATTTAGTTTTTGCATTATATGTAAATTGTTAATACATATATATATATCGATATATACATTTTTATAAATATATTTATTGTTACTATATTGAGTTTTATTTCAGTTCTACTAACCAGTATATAATATAGCAAGACAAGATTAATATTTAGTATTTTTGGATTTCAGGTTATTATCTCTAGTATCATTTGTTTCCGGTCATTTGTTACTTCAAAATCTCAACTATCGTTGAGTTGGCGCCCTTCTTTTTCTCTTCTTATTGTTCTCTTTCTATAAATTTATTCCCAGTGACCTTCTTTAGTTGTATCACATTTGATATTACCAAGTCTCAGTTCGTTTCTTGTCTCATTAGCTCAGTATCCTTGCTATCTGTTTATATCTTTAAAGCCACAATCCAGTGCATTGAAGCTAGCCCTAACACTCACTTGAGATTTAGTGTCTCTTTGGAAATTTAAATTTGTTCCTCTGAGCTTAGCCATAATTTTAGTATTTTCATCACCTCTCTTCCAGTTCTTCTGGAATTTGGAAGTCTTACACTTCCTAAAATCCAATACTCCCAGAGTTTTGAGGTTTCAATAAGTTTTATAAGTTCTTTAAAATTTTACTGATTCCAAGTTGCAGTATAATAAGCAGGACGGTTTTTGTATTGAAACGTTTCAAGTGGGTGTCGTAAAGTTTTATTTTTTATTAAAAGAGGTTTTTGCCATATCGATATCGTAAGTTTAATTTTTTTACTTTTTTCTATTTACTTCTATTCTTCTATATACGTCTATTTACTTTTTTTATTTGACCCAATAGAGAAAAAAACACATCAGTCAATCAATTTCGTTGGAAACGAAAATTGCAATTGCAGTTTTAGATAAGCAATTATTAAGAATAATGAAGTTTCTATAAGAAAATTTATAATTTATGAAACAAAATTAAGTGCCAAATTCTTAAGGAGCAAGATGAAAAGAAGGATTAGGAAGAACAGAAAAACTTTCAAAATTTGGATTGAGGAACTAATTCAAAGAAGAATTACTGTGAGTCGTTATTTAATCCAGGAAAAAGCTCTTGAGTTTTATTTTCAGTTAATGAAACAGTCAGAGCCAAAAAATTGAGCTGGTAAAGAATTTTCAGCTAACAAACGGTGGCTAAACGGGTTTATAATCATAATATCAAGATTACAGGAGAGAGTGCTACACCAGATGAAGCAGCAGCAAAAATATTTCCGCAGGAGCTAGCAAAAATTATTAAAGATAAGGACTATTGCACCGATCACGGATTTAACGCTGATGAAACGGGACTATATTAGAAAAAAAAAGCCTAACCGTACTTATATCGCAAATGATGAAAAAACTGCAAGTGGACATAAAGCAAGTAAACATCCATTAACATTATTACTTTGCAGCAATGCATCAGGAGATCGGATGTTGAAAATTCTCTTAACAAATAAATCACTTAGACCACAATCACAAGCAAGCCTGAGTGACAACTGCTATTTTTACAGAATGGTTTAATAATTACTTCGTGCCTGAAGTATAAGCCTATATGAAGAAAAATCTCTCGATTTTAAAGTTTTATTAATTATTGACCATACAGCAGGTCATCCACGCTAAGATCATCCAAACTTTTAAATAGTATTTCTTCCGCTCAATACGGCAAGGCTTATTCAGCCATTAGATCAAGGCATAATTGCAACGTTTAAAAATATTACATAAAGGCAACTTACAAATGCATCGTGAGTAAATTAGCAAATGGGCCCTTAACAGTAAGAGACGTGTGGAAGCAATTTCATATGAAATAATTAATTTGGCACATAAAATCGTCACCGAAGCACCCTCGCTGAACTGAGCCTAGCTCAGAGCGGAGACTTCAGACCCAAGTAAGCAATTTTAGTTCGCGGATAAGCCACATTAAGATAACAGGAATATAGCGACAATTCGCTGTCCTGAGTTTTGAATTCGGTTAGGAAACCATGTTGGGTTTCTATTACCCAGGACATCCACATCAAGAGCATTTGGCTGATAGTTGTGCCCCTATCGGGCATCAGAGTTCTATAGGGAGGAAAGGGATGGTTTGGAGCATTGAAGTGCGGTGGAGAGACTCATGTTTTTTGCTCGAGTTAATACACTTCGCTCCAATGTAGATTAGGCGGCATCTGTAGAAATTCAGACCATAATGGAAATTTTCGAGGGAAGCTATTTTTTTGCTGAAATCCCTTCAGGATATGCCCAGTATCCATAATCACGATATGCGCCAGTCGCAAACCCTGTGCTAAATTTTTTATTTAACAAAATCTGAAAACAATTGAAAATTTCTCATTTTTTTGATCCTATTTTCATTTATAATTCGAAAAATATTGATCTTAGAGAAAAAATTATAAGTGGTTAAAGTTATTAAATTTTACGCAATATTTTGTTAGCTAGAAATTGAAAATTTAATGGTTATTGTTGAAAAAATAGCAATAATTGGAAAAAAAGTACAAAAAAATGAAGTTAATCCTTTAAATGTTTTCGACTTTCTAAACTTAACTTACAAGTTCCATATTCCGCCTAGAAAAACTTTTTAATATGTTTAAAACGTGTGCTAAATTTTGTTAAGATCGGTCGGATAGGTTTTGCATAATAGTTTTGCAATCCAGCCTACTGGAAAAAAAATCGCAAATTTTCAAATTCATAGTAGGCCCTAAATAAGGCCCTCAGATAGTTGCAATTTTTTTTACATATAAAGAAAGTCTCACACTTTCAAACGCTTTTTGTAAAATTCAAATCGGTTTACTAGGAAAGCCTATAAATTTTTTTAAAGTTATAAACATTTTTTAGGCTTATAAACAAATTAAATAACTTTACGAGCTTTAAACAGATCAATTTCAAAATGTATACACTTAAAGAACATTAAAAGACGCTTCTTTTAAAAAACAAAAAGATACATTCGGCTTACTGGTTGCCGAGATATTGAAGGTCAAAGTTGGTATACATTTGCCGTGTAACCATAAGTGATAGAGGGCTCGTTTTTAAACAAATACCCTCGTCGTGTCAAATACTTTTTATATGAAAAGTTTTACGTAACGCGCTTTATGGCAACATCCATAAAAAAGACAAATAAAAAACCGTTTTCGCGTAATATGTCGCTCGGAATGCATGAGAGGTGGTGATGAGGGACATTCACTTCAAATGTCAATCGGCGAGTATCAAGTATATATTAGCCTCAGATAACAAGCCAGTTTTTATAATTGCAGAGGATATTGATGTTCTGGTAATATTTTTACAAAAAGTAACTGAAAATAAAAATATTTTTTTCTGGAAACCTAGAAAAGGAAAAAAATCGGAAGAAATTTATTACTACAATTCTTTCAATAATGCACTTAAAATAAGTGAATCTACGAAATCTTCGTTAAAAAATTTAGTGGGCTTTTACACGCATTTTCTGGTTGTGATACAACCTCTGCATTTTTTTATCAAGGAAAAAGCAAAATTGTTAAATTGGTTTCAACAAATAATTATATATGGCAAGAAGCAACCATTTTTAATAAAAAAAGTGCAACTAAGGAAGAAATTAAACGCAGCGGATGCAAAATTATATCGGCATTGTATATGGGCCACTCAAAGTGCGATTTTACATTGAATAAAATTCGCTACTTGTGCTTTAAAAAAGGCTGCAAAAATAAAAATTTTCAATTGTCCATGCTGCCATCTACACAATCTGCAGCTGAGCAACACTCGCTTCGTGTATATTTCCAAGTACAGCAGTGGCTTGGAAATAACCTGAATGCTACTGAGTGGGGGTGGGAACTAACTCAAAATGGTTTTGAGCCAATACAAACTGAGCAAGTATTACTACCTGACTCATTATTCAGAAATATTAGTTGCAAATGTAAAAAACTTTGTACAAAAACATGCAGTTGTATCAAACATGGTCTCAAATGTTCTGACTATTGTCTTCACTGCAATGGTCAAACATGTAAAAATATTGATCACAATAAAATATTGGAAGAAGTTGAACGAGATATGGATATGGAGTCGATATTGGAGTCGATTGATTTTTTAGATTTTTTGGAGGCACAAGATATAGCTACAGATGAAGGAGAAGAAACATTAAATTTACAGATCGAGGATGAAGATATTGAAATGGAAAATGAAGGTTTTGAGGAAGAAATAAAACCTGAAGATTCTTGTCCTTCCAGAAAAAGAAAAAGATTTAAAAAAAATTATTGAAGATTGAGTCAAAATA